GGGAACAGAATTGGTCTAATTTGTGGCTGGTTTTATTTATTCCTTTTTTTCTTTTAAATATAGGTCTGTTTAAGTGATGTTTCTCTTTTGTTAGTTAAGAAGTACCAGTTATTCCGCTGTGACTGGCACAAGTGTATTGTGGGTGTGATTAAGCCCTGTGTTAACTGTGGTTAGTCTGTTTCTATTTTGGCAATAGTTTAAATACTAATCTGCCGCTTAATGACTATTCTGCATATGTCTGAGATACAATAACCTTATAAACAATCTGTTTATCTATGGCTAAGTTGAAAAGGATTCCACTTACAATTTTCTGTTGAAGGATTTTATGTTAAAAAGATAGCTTTGCTGTAACTAAAGGCTGTAGCTGCAGTAAGAAAATGGTAGTGTTTGCTTTGCCGTTCATTGAATAAAGTAGGTCTTGCAGTTTGCAGGCTTGAAGTGTGAGTTTGCTTGCCACCTTATTCTTCCTGCCTTTTTCCCTTATTGTCAATTCCTTGCAAGTTTGAATAAGGATCAGAAATACAACCTTGACTTAAATCATGCTTTCAGTAGCTTTAATTAAGCTGGCTTTGGCAGATGAGTTCTCAGTCATCTTTATCTGCTTCTTTTTGTGTGGGCTGTTCTCAGCTGTCACAAAGATGCTCAGGTGTCTGCTGACAGTACTTTTAATCATACAGTGTTGAGCCTTCATCTTTTGAAGGTCAGTGGAAAGACAAGGCCAACAGCTGAAGTCTGTGTAAACTTGGGGATTGCATCCTATTTCTACCCCCAGCTCTTGATTCCAAATCCAAGGGGAGAGAGACTGGGAGCTTATAGTACCTTCAAGACATCTACTGCTAGAGCAGAAAGTGCTGAATTCTTCTAACTGATTGTAAGGGCAATCTGACTCTTGGGAAGTATGAAAAGGTCAGTGCAGGTGAGAAGGCTTGTTTTAAGTGGTTTCCTAGCCTAGTCCAGCTCAGATGGAGACAAGCTTAGTGCTGTAACACTGCTCAGGTTCAGGGTGGGAATGCTGTGCTCCTGAGAGCAAGAACTAAAATTTATTTTTTAATATACCCAAGAGCAGGAATACTTGCACCTGCTGATGGAAAGGGAGTAGGCTCAGGTGGTGAGTACCTTGGGGGAGCTGAGGAAGGTTTGTTGACCAACAGCAGCAGTGCTAACAGCATTTCTCAAAACAGGCCGAACTGTCTGTCCTGGTGGGCTGTCAGCACCCTTGTGGCAGTCACCTTGCAGCAGCCTGGTGGTTTGTGTGGTGGCTTGTGACAGCCCTCTGGGTGCTGTACAGAGCTGGGGAAACTGGGGCAGGCCTTTATCCGAACCACCTACAGCTGCTGCCAGGAATGAGCAGTCAGGAAAGAGATGTGATGAATTATGAATATTCCAGCTTCTGTGCATTGTGCATGCAAGCACTGACTAAATCCAGGCCTAGTTCTGTCCTTGCTGTTCTAGTTGGTAATCCCCCAAATTATCTTGATGCTGATACCAGTACTAGAAGTACATGTCATTAGCTCCCCGGTTGTGATATTTGTGCTCTGGGCAGTGTTTCATATTTCCCACTGTCTGGATGATTGGCTGATGAAGGACAAAACAGTGGAAGTGGTCCAAGAATTAGTGCAGAACCATCAGGCACTGTTTGCCTTTGTTTAACTGATACTATAAGGAGACTGGCTGGGCCAGTGAGTGGTTTAGAGTAGCTAAAATTGTGAGAGCTGCTTTTCCAGATCAAGGCTAGGATTTGTTAAGCTTGGGTCTATGCTTTCCTCTGCAAATGCCTGATGGATGCTTCTAAACTTGTGGAGAACAAAGCCTGGTTTTCTCCTGAGGAAGAACAGTAGTTACTTTTTTTGTTGTTGTGTGTTTTGATGGCTAAATAGAAGATACTTAATTTCTTTTGTGTTGTGGGGCTTGAGTTTCAAATCCATATTCACTAAGTTAAGCAACCATTCATTTAACTTTCTCTGTTTTGTTGTTTTAGTGGAATTCTTAATATAAAATTTGTGCTGGGGTGGAAACCACTGCCAAAACTGAAGATCAAGTTAAAAAAACCCAGAACCAAACAACATCACTTTACCCTGTTTTTCGGACTTCTTTTTTGGTTTGGTTTTTGTTTTCAGTCAGCTGTAATTTGTAGCATGCATGAAACCTGAACATGCAAACACTCTGCCTCGTTTGATGCCGGTGTGCTGAGACTGGCTAAACGTAACTTTCTTTTATCCTAATGAGTTCAAAATGGATCTTAAAAGTCACGATGGTGGCTGGGCAAAAGTGTTACTGTTTCCTTTTCTGAAGAAAATAGCTTGCTACAGAATTTTTACAGACTATTTTATCTGGAAACAGCTTAGCATATTAATCATATTTCTTGTCTGCTTTTGGCAGTACTTACAGCAGCAAGGTGTTTCGTGTTACCTTCTTGACTTTGGCTGCATCTCTGACTGTGCCACTGCTTGGAGTAACTGTTCTCCTGGATTGTCCTATAGACCCTCAGCCTATAAGGTAAACTCTTGCTTTGTTTTGAAGTAAATGTTACTGAAGGGTAACTTCTCCTATGTGTTCTGTTGGTTGGGGTTTTCTTCAGCGAACAAAAATAAACCATGCAAAGTGGTTCTAACTGCATTAAGTAATTGGGAAGTGTTTGCAATGTTATCCATACCCAGTCTATTTCTGAGCTGTCTCATGTAGTTGTGTGTCACTACTGATCATTGAAGGACCTGAATTACTTTCTTTGATCATTAACCTAGAAAATTATTTTCTGTTGTCCAAGCTGTCAGTGGAGCTTGTGATTACATACTCTTGCCCTATGTGAGACAAGAACTGCGTTTTCATCAAGGACCAAGCTGTACCCGTGCTGTTATAGTTCTGTCACAGAAAGGTTGTTTATCTGAGGATGAAAACTGAACATGGATAACCTGACTGAGTTGATTTGGTGCTTTGTATCAGGGGAATCATGTGGTGATGTTATATTTAAATGCAGATCTCATAAAGCAATGCAATTAGGTGTCTGAATTCATGAACATCTTAACTGAGATGTGTGTCAAATGGGTAAAAGTGAATCAGTTACATGAGATGATGTGACCTGTGTTGGGAGCAGTTGTGTGTGAAATGCTTTGACAGCTGCCCTAGGGTGTAGTCTGGCTGCTCACTGCCCCTGGCATTTTTAAGTAGGTAAAAATGCTCAGTCTGATAAATATTTATGATCAACTTGATAAATCCCTAATGAAAAGGAAAACAACACTGTAAATATCTTTAAAGTTGAAAGAAACTGTTAATGTGGTAGAGTAGCACTTACAAGGCTTGCCAACAGGCTATTAGGCATAAGCTGCCTCATTGCAGATCCTAATGAAATGCTTTCTGCTGTGTTTGGGTTTAACAAAACTCAATTTCCTGAAATACATTGCAGCTGAACAGTAGTTCTGAAAGCCAATTGCAGCAGGTTGCCCAAAGAGGTTGTGAAAGAACATGTAGAAATCTCAATTGCCAATAGTGATGTTATTCCTGCAAGCCACTGTAAATTATGAGGAATTAGAGGGGGGAGAAAAAAGCAGATATTATCTGTGAAGCTTCCTGTGAAATTCCTGCAACTCTGTTTTTTTTTAAGTTCCTTCTCTATGAGCTTGTCTTGGATAATATTGATCCCAGGGAGAATTTTCTGCTTGCTAACACAACTGTCCAAAGTTCCCAGCAAATGAGTTCCTTATCTGAAGCCTCTTATCCTCATCTAATATTGGAAGAAGGGATGAAAACTGAATCTGCATTAGCATTGTGGAGACAACTCTGCTGTAAATCTCCTCTGGAGATAATTCAGTTGGTTTCGTCACTACAGTAATACATACTTAAAGGAAAGTTTGCAGTCTGTAACCAGACAGATAAGAGTATGTATTTTTCTCTCCTTCTGAATTATTTGTGTTGTGAATCTGTTTTCCTCAATTTTCATGTCTTTTATAGTTTGCAATTTCAGTTGACTTTTTTCCTTGAGTCACCAAAGCTCTAGAAATGGTAACGATTTTCAGCATATGAGCAGTAGATTTGCAACGTGGCTGGTGACAGCTTCTGGATCCTGTGAACATGGGCAAGTTTTTGGAGTCAGACCTGATCATTTTAAGATTCTCCAGGTGGAAGGCATTTGCTTATGGTCATATAAAGAGTTACTGAAAGAAAAACAATCGAATAATTATTTCAGAACTCAGCCTAGGTATCTTTAGCCTTAAGCCATGGAGACTTAGGGGCTGTTGGTGAGGTTTTAAGAACTGAAAAGACTGAAACCTATTGGAGTTTGAAGCACAGTGGTTTGGAGCCTGGTATTTAAGTTGGAGCTGTGTAGGTGTCTTACTACTTCCCCTCTCTGTGTCTCTGTAGTTGCAACTCCAGTTGTCTTGTACCTATTTGTGTATGTGAATAAGGATTTGCAAGATTGGACCTTGTTTTGCAATTTTGGGGTTTCCGTTCGATAACCCTTTAAGTTCATGTTGCAACTTACTGCTTTGAGTTGGTCTTTCTCTGTGGGAGTGCATTCAAGTAATAAAGGAGAACATATGTTTCAATAGGGTATAAAACCATGTGTGTCCTAGTGCTCAAGCTGCTGGAACACTTTTTCACTGGTTGTATTGTATCCCTAGTTGCTAATTAGTAATTAAAAGCTTTCTTTTCGGCGATGAAAATGCTATACGGTGTCAGATCTTAGTGTATTGTGAAAGGCCAGGCTTTTAAATTTTAAAACCTTTTTTGCTTATGAATTGGCAAATACCTACTCAGGAAAAATATTCTGGTACAAACAGCTCATTCAGCTGAGTAAGAAAGCAGTTATTCTTTTGCATTGTGACAATGCAGAAATCCTTTGCCTTTGTGAAGATAGATGAACTGGGAATGTGTTGTTGGGCTTGAAAATGTGTAGATTTGTTAGGAACACTTCACTGCAACTTTTCTGATCAGCTGACCTAGGAAATTATGATCTTTGATGAACAAGAGTCAATTTTTCAGCTGTTTTCTTTTTTGAAATATGCTTTGTGTAAAGCATAGGTCACATTTGCAGGAGTTGGCAAAGTAAGACAAAAGTGATCCAATATGTTGCTCAAGAGTGTTTGCAGTTTTGTGCAAAGGGTCACGAGGTCTGTGTTCTGTTTTGTAGTTTAAAGGAACCTCCCCTCCTGGCGGGTGTGCTAGAGCCCAATACCAAGTTACGAAAAGCTGAGCGGTTGTGGGAAAACCAGCTGGTTGGACCAGAGTCCATTGTCAATATTGGGGGTAAGCACTGACAAAATAAGCTTTTAAAGAAGGGTCTTCAGATGTCCCATTGGTAAGAGTTTGTTAAGCAATATACCTCTTAGATAACAAACTCTGGAAGTTACTGCAATGTGCAGGTTTTTACAAAACCGTGTTGTTCAGTAAAACCTGACTGCTGTATACTGCTTTTCTCCTCTTCATGAATGTAAAATAAATCTTGTTGGCAGATTAAAAATCCCTGTCTCCCAGGACTGAAAGCTTTAGCTGTGTAGTCAGGGGTTATCTATGTTTGGAGGAAGTGGTCCCATTTCACATTTGGCTAGCTCTCAATTGGGAATTCATTTTTACAGGGTACTACTTGCTCTTGTAATGCTCATTGCTGCTGAGGGACCTGAGATTTGTGGTGTTCAGTTTTGCTTTTATGACAGAAAAAAAAAATCTTGAATTGGTAAATAGCATATTTACATTTTAGTGCTGATGCACAATGTCATATCCCATATTCATATCTTCTTCATACTCCATATTCATAACTCTTGAAGCTTAAATCCTTCCTTTTCATTTTGAGTTGCAAGAAATCTAACCAATAGAGGTGCCATCCTCTACTTATCTCTCATGGCATGCTTTTTCCCCTCTGAGCACTTTCTTAATGAGTTACATAGACTTCTAATGGTATGACACACTCTTAGTAGGAACCCAGCCTTTGTGCAGGGGTTGGTTCCTGTGTCTCCTGAAGGAGGGGTAAGGCTAGAAGCTACTCTTGACATGAGTCCTTGACTGTTTTATTGGGAAATGGAAAGGCAGTAGGAGTTGCAAGCAAGGCCCTTTCTGAAAGATCCTTCAGTATTAGAGGTGCTCAGTAGCCATATAGTTTATTTTCCTTCTGCTATATCTTCTATTAGATTAGTAAAATACTTAAAATTTTAAGAAAATTTACCCAGCAAGAAACTACTGTAAATTCCTTCCTCAGATTATACTTTTTTACCTACCTCTGTTAACAGTGTGCTAATGTGATTACCTGAAGCTGTTGATTCTTTTCTGTTGCCTTGGTTTATCCATCTCAATGGAAACTCCTTAAGGAAACCTTCCTGCAAGGGGTAACTGACCTATAGGTGTAATAATCAACCTGACTGGGAATAAATTTTCTATGAATAAATGAAGTCTTCTTAGTCTGTTTTAAAAGTGTAATTAGCAAGCTTAAAATGTCAGTTAAATTAGAGATGGAAAAGTCCAAGCAAAGGGCTCTGCTAGTCCAGTGGTCTTTAATTTAATTTGGTTGTATGGAGAAGTTTGTGTATTGTTTGTATTCAGTGAGTCTGTCTTATGCTATCCCCTGGCTTGGCATGAATACAGTAATTTGGCAATGCTTTTGATTTAGGTGGTTCAGTGGTTTTAGTTTTCGTAATTCACCTCCAGAACCAATACAATATGAACACTGGCAGGTGTTCAGCAGCCTGTGTGGACTGTATTAGAATGAGAAGTTCTGTCTAGTCAGTCTCACTGAAGAGTGATAAGAGCGATGCAGTGTCTGATCACATTTTGGGATGATATAGAAATTTACATGGAGGGATCATTAGCTTTTTACATCCACCTTTAACTAAGAATTTAGACCATTGTGTGAAAATCTTTGTATCCAATCTGCATAAATCCTGAGGTTTAAATCCTTCCTCATCTTCTTGCGTTGGAAGAAATGTAACCAGATACTTTTATTTACCTTCATGTTTCCCCTTCCTTTTATTTTTTTCCTTTTGCTTTGACTGAAGAAGACTGTTACTTCAGTAGACCTCAAACATGAATTCTACTTCATGCTAGTAGAAGGATCATGTAGAAGGATGTTTGCCACTGTGCTTTTGTGATCAAGCTATTCACACCAGTTTGTTTTGTTTTGCAGATGTGCTATTTACTGGGACAGCTGATGGGAAGATTATCAAAATTGAAGATGGGGAAATACAGACAATAGCCAGAATTGGCCATGGTCCTTGTGGTGAGTGACATCTCCTGAACATATTGTACCTGAAAACATCTAGCTCAGGGCTTGTGCTGTTTAAACTGTGGTCAGTCTGGGTGCTCATGTAAGTGCTTGTCTTCCTCTGCAGAAATTTGTAACAGAAGCATTAATATATTTGTACGAATGAAGTATGAGTGGAAGTATGTATATTGCAAGGAAGAGCAGAACAGAGGGCCGAAAGAATGGGAATGGGTGCTCTTGATAACAAAGCACACAGTTTCCAGCAGTAAAATTTAGGAATGAGAGGGTTTAATGTCATGGCTACAAGGTTTGCACTCTTGTAAGGCTGCAACATGGATGACTTGGTAGAAGATCCTTCGTTTTAACATGGGGAGAAGGATGAGGTTGAAGTGCATCACAAGTAACATTCATTTTTCTGATAGTGTATCTAGAAAACACATCTATCTTAAGAAAAAAATGGGCAGCAACCTGGCCTAATATTTGTGGAAGCTGAAGTCAGCAAGATTCTGAGGTGAAGGGCCACCCCATTAAAACTGAGGACTCCTAAGCAAGTGTGAGTGAGTGAACTCTGAGATAATGTGAGTGGGACAGATCAACATATTTAGAGATTTTTTGAAAATAAATATCACCTTTCTCATCTACAGAATTTTGCTTTGTGTTTTGTTGTACCTATTTTTCTTCCTTACAGATAAGTCCAGTGGGGAGTTGTGGCTGCATTTGTTTTAGCAGAGAACTTGGGTTGGTGTTTTCTCACCATTAGGTTGCAGTTATTTCTTGTTGAATTCTACACTTCTTTCTGAACAATTTATTTGCTTCATTTAATGAGGTTTCTGCAAGTGATTGGGGAAAAATGGTATCAGTTTGTTTATTAACAGAACTATTTCTATGGAAAGCTTAATGTTGGCCATCTCTCTGTAGTGCCTGGGCAGTCTGAGAAGCCTGGCTGGTGTTCCTTGGAACTATGTCTAGTTTTGTTTGCTGTAACAATGTAGAAGCTTCCCTGCAGCCCTGTGCTGGTTGCCAGTTAGAAATTATGGTCAGAAACTGCTGCTGTCCTTGTTACCTCTCATTGACATGCTCATCATTGTAGCTATGTAATTTTATGTGGATGTTCACATGTTTAGGCTCTGGGCTGATTTGGAAGAATCTCTTGGCTGCCTGACAGGTAGGACAGCCTTGGTGCTGACAGCCAGCAAAGTCTGCTGCCAGCTGCTAAGGTGGATTTGCAGCTGCTGCTTAGGTGTGAATGTGGGTTGGAATGGGTGTGGAAAACCACCTTTCCCCTGCTCATTTTCATTGGACTTGTACAACTTGAGAGAGGTGGGATGGTTATGCTGCTCTATATGTTTGAGGTCAAAGAGGTAATGGGGAGCCTAGACTTTTGTCCTCCTTGAGTTTGTGAGGGAAGTGGAAAGGCTGTAGGCAACTGCTAGTTGGTAGTTTCTCTTGCTAATTTTTCAAACTGCAGATGTACTAAAGTTGTAGTTCTTCAGGACTCAAGGATCTCTTTGAATTTGTCTAAATTCTTCAGATTTGCAGTATTCCCCTTCCTCCTTATATAAAAATCTTCAGTGTCTGTGTCTTGAGAAACCAGCTGTTTCATGACAACATTGGACCGTTCCAGAAAAAGAAAGGTTTTTTCTTTTTAACTAAAAATTAATTAATAAAACCCCCAAACCAACCAAACAAAAACCTGCAGTAAAACCGATTCTTTCTGAGAAGAAGAATTTAGTTAAATTATCTGATATTTAGCCTTACTTTTGGGGCAACTGTTAGCTAGTTACTAGCCTGGCAAATTATAGGATTATCTCTAGTCTGGTGAAAATATGTCATGGGGGTATCTGTTTCGCTCACACCTAGTCAAGTAGGAATCGTTTCTTTAGTGAATGTATGTGCTGCTGACCATAGAGTATTTTTTAAGCTAAAGTTTGACCCAGGTGCTTGCCCAGCTGCTCTATCACTCCCGTCCTCAACAGGGCAGGGGAAGAAAATAAGATGGAAAAAATCCCTCCCAGGCTGAGATCAACACAGTTTACTAAAGCAAAAGCAATGGTCATGAGCACAAGGAAAGGGGAAGAAAGCCCCAAATATTTTATTCTCTACTTCCCCTCATCAAGTGATGTCCAACTGCTTCCCAGGAACACCTAAAGGTTGCTTTAGAAGGCAAATGTAGATTCATCCCCTTCCTCCTCCTTTTTCTTAGCTTTTTTATCTGAGCTGATGTCATATTGTATAGAATATCCCTTTGGTCAGGTTGGGTCAGCAGTCCTGGCTGTGTCCCCTCCTAAGATTTTGCCCAACCTCTGTCTGCTGTGGATGGGAATGTTAGAGAGACAGTGCTGATGCTGTGCCAGCACTGCTCAGCAGTAGCCAAAACACTGCTGTGTTATTGACACCTTTCTGGCTGCCCATGCAAAGCACAGCACTGTGAGGACTGCTATGGGTAAAATGAGCTCCATCTCAGCCAGACCCAATATGCCTGTGTAGGTAGTCTGAATGCCTTGTATCTATTTCTATTTGGAAAACCATTTTAAAACTGTTTTCTAAGGAACCCGTGAAGATGAGCCAACATGTGGAAGACCCCTTGGCATCAGAGTGGGGCCAAATAACACCCTTTTTGTGGCAGATGCTTACTATGGACTCTATGAAGTTGATCCTGATACAGGTATGACTTTTCTGCACAGAAATTCTCTTCCACTGACAAATCTGGGCTTCATTTGCAGTTTTGCCAGACACTGCAGGCAAAACAATGCCTGTCTTCTTTGTAAAGTGATTTGGAGCTGTCTGGAAATGAGTCATGCAAGAACTTGATATTCATTTTCCTGTAGCAATCACTTTCACTCTGTATCTGTCTGTCTGGATCAGAGTTACTAGTGGCTTATCTTCTGGTGATACATGTTTTTGATAGTCAAAATTGGTACCTCAGGATCCACAAATAAAGCTCTGTGCAGCTGTTTAAGTTTTCATAAAAAGGAAAGAAAAAGGATAGTTGTTACATAAACTTTTTGTCATATTTGCTGTATTTTTGTTTCTGCCTTGGTCTCGCTGTGGTAGTGAAAAGATCTTTACTTCCCTGCAAGCCTAATCTATACAAAGTGAAGAAAGATGCATTTTGGTGCTGCTGATGATCAAGTGGCTTGTTCCCGCTGAGAAAGGCACTGTTGCATTGTGCATTTTTTTTGTCCCTGAGCCAAGTCTCAGTTTTAGGAGCTGTGCTGTCAGAAAGTGATAGTTGTTTTTATGCAGGGTTGATTATTCTGTCAGTTTACCTCTCTTAATTGGCTTCAGGTGGGGAGAGGAAGTGGCCAAATGCTGAGTGAGATGTAACTGGAGGGCTCAGGCTATCACTCTGGGAGGGTATGATCAACATCTCCCCTTTTCATGGCAGACAGCTGCTGTAAGAACTCAGTCATGACAAAAACAGGCAAACAAACCAACCCAAAACCTGTGCCTGAATACGACTTCATTAGATTTGGGTTGATTTTTAGAGATTTGACCTTAATAATTGGCCTGGTAATGTGTGGCAGAGTAGTTTAGTGATCCTGCTCATGTTCTAATGCTTAGAATCATAGAATCAGCAGGGTTG